AATTTTGTTTTACTTTGTTTTTTGGTATTCTTTTAAAGAATGTTGGGCTTTGTTCTGACAGGTATTTATATTATTTGTATCTTTTTTTCTCTTGGAGGCTTTTTTTAATCTTTGATATGACAGTTTTAGAGTCTCCTTTCTCTAGGGCTGATAGGCACACATATTTGCAGCTCTGTGTGTACTTCAGGAATTGTTCATCCTGCTGCTTTCCCTGTCCTTGGGTAATTTTTTTTTTATCCCGTGTGTATGGATAAATAGTCAAAGACATGAGTGAATCCCTCTGAAATTCGGCCCAGCAGTCTCTCTTTCTAAACAGTTTCCCCTGCCCTCCTTCTCTGCTTCCAAATCCAGCCACCTTGGATTATTCAAGTTCTGATCTCTGTCTCATCAGCTCAGCAGGATCTTCATTCTTTGTTTGGGTTCTTCCTTCCTGCTGTGCCTTAAACTGTCTCCACACAGTAAGCTAGGGCATCAAGGGGTTTATGTCGTTTGTTTCTTTTTCTCTCAGTTTTGGCTGCCTGTTGTCCAACTGTTCTTTTACATGTGTCTTCTTGCTTTCCAGTTGTTTAAGGAAAGTGAAAATAATTCTGTTCCTGTTAATTCTATTTTGGCCAGAAGTAGAATTCCAATAGTGTTTTAAATACTCATTTATTTAATACAGTTTTTAAAAATAAAGATGCCAAATGGTACTTTCTTTATTGTGGTGAAATAGACATAATATAAAACTTACCATTTAAACTGTTGTTAAATATGTGGTTCAGTAGCATAAAGTACATTTACATTGTTATGCAGTCGTCACCACCGTCCATCTCCTGAACTCTGCACCTTGCAAAACTGAAACCCTATACCCATTAAACAATAACTCCCTATTCCCCTCTCTGCCCAGCCCTTAGCAACCACCATTCTACTTTCTGTCTCTATAAGTTTGATGACTCTAAGAATCTCAGAAATGTGCAATCATGTATATTTGTCCTTCTCTGTCAGCTTATTTCACTTTGTATAATATCTTCAAGGTACATCAGTTTTAGGTAAGAATGTCTTTCTTTATTAAGGAAATATTTACTACAAAGAATTGACTCTCACAATTATGGAGGCTGAGAAGACCCAAGTTCTGTAATCAGCAAGCTGGAGACCCAGGAGAGCTGACAGTAAAGTTCAAGTCAGGAGAGCTGATGGTGTGAGTTCCAGTCTAAATCTGAAGGCAGAAGACTGATTTCCCAGCTTGAAGATAGGCAGAGAGAGTGAATTCTCCTTTACTCAGCGTTGTTGCTCTATATACACTTTCATCTGGTTGGATGAGGCCCATTCAAATTGGGGAGGGAATCTGCTTTACTAAGTCTACCCATTGAAATGTTAATCCTATCCAGAAACATCCTCACAGTCACACCCAGAATAATATTTAATCAAATATCTGGTTATCTTATTTCCCAGTCTCACATAAAATTAGCCGTCATACCATTCACCCATCTATGTACACTTGGAGTGCTTCTACCTTTTGACTATTGTGAATAATGCTCCTATGAACATTAACGTACAAGTATATCTGTTTGAGTTCTTGCTTCCTTTTGGGTATGAAATGGTATTTTTATACAGTTGTTTTATATGCTTAGTTGAGGTTTAGAATTCTAGTTGCTGGATCACTTTAACCACTAGAGCCATGCTTTAAAAACAGTCATGTCATATCTGATGCATACTTAGGTTATATGGATTCAAATCTATTGTATTTTATAGGTTATTGAAGGGATTTTCAACGGAAATATTTCATTATACTCAATTTTTGCATAATCTGCCTTTGGAACCCAGTCTGAGGGTAAAATGCAGCTTTACAGTATTGCTTTTCTTTTACAAAGCAGAAAAATAATTTCTGACAGTTCCTTTCTATATGTCTTCTCAATGCTAATGAAATAAAAAATCTATATCCAATTCTCTAGTTGACAGGAAAAATTTGAGGAACGTCTTTTTATTTAATTGTTCATTTTATCATTCAAAGGAACATTTTGAGCAAAGCCAAAGCACATTTTTGTATTCATAACTGTTTATATAATCAGAGAAAAGGGGGGCTAGAATATTATAAGGTTGATATAGCATATAGAATCAGTGTGGTGATTTTGAAAGAATGCTGAGTTTGGCTTTGAGAGGTATGTTTATTTTATTAATCCCATCTACTACTAAGCTGTGATTTTGGACAAGCCATTTTACCTGAGTTCATTTTCTTGTCTGAAAGACAGTGAAGATGATAATACTTGTTACTATTTCATAGGATTGTGATGATCAAATGAAGTAATGTATATGAAAGTGCTTTGAAATCTTTAAAGTGATATATAGATATAAGGCTGCATTTATGGTCTAAGCTAATAGATATAGAAAAGAGCTATTAGAAGCAAAATCTGCTTATGTATGAACAGTTTCTATTCTGATTAAAAGGTTTGTAAGTTTTGAATTGTAGATAACTGCAAAGTCAAGGAATCTGATTTTGCCCCAGAGCCTCAATTCATTGGAAGAAGAAAAGTGAGAACATTCTAGTCACTGCAAGTCAATTTTTGATATTAAAACCCTTCTGTCTTTATTTTGAAAAGATTTACAAGGTGGCAAGAACTTTACTAGTGAATGAAGAATTGTCAGCATATGTCCCTTTTTAAGCCCAGTATATGCAACACTTTTGTCTTACTAGAGTTTACAAACTTTTTTTTTATATTGAGGATAGTGTATTTTTATGTGAGTTGAATATGATATGAGTTTGAAGAGTGCTAAACAGTGATTCTTTTAATGAAGGATTCGATGGCTTGTTTTTGTGTTCTACAGAGAGAGGCTAGTGACTGGAGGTAGAGTATTTTGATGATGTTGTATGCAGAAGGATTTGTTATATTTCTGTGAGAGACAGAAATAAAGTGTTATTTCTGAGATACTTCTTTTGTAGGAAAGGGACTGGTTTGCCTCACAACGTATTCTAAGAGCATTTGTCTTCAGGAACTTGAGTTAGAATGAAGAGGCTGAAAACCTAACCTTTATTTATTGATTAGACAAAAATAATTCCACATCTGTTTGGAAATGAGTAAATTTGAAGTTTTAAATTTTTTTGTGTGATTTTATAAATGACTCTTTGATGACAGATAGTGAGAACTTTTGCCTCATCCTACAATATGAGCCTAAAAGGTATTAAATACTTGTTGACAGACTGATTCTAGGGCTGGTGCAGGAAAGATACAAGATGAGGCTGGAGCATCTTTTAGTAGTAGAAAGTAAGGAAGTGCATGAAAAGCAAAATGGTAAGAGCATGTCAAAGGGACACAGGAGACATCTGAAAGAGCTTACAATAGTCATGGCTGGAACAATTTGGGAGCAAAATGAATGATATAGTATTGGATTATAACCTAAAGTATACAATAAGTGTCCACAAGTCCATACTGATATAAATAAGTTATTGAATAAATGTGTAAATGGATGAAGAGAGATGAATCTTCCATACAGAATAATTCCAATAATATATTTAGATGTTCTCTGCTATGGGAGGTAGAGAATAATTCCTCCTCTTTTTCCCTGAGGGTGGGCCAGACATAGTCACCTTGAAAGAATACGTTATGAAGACGGAAAAACAGTAATGTTATAGTGGAGAGGCCTGGCATGTTATATAGTACCTTAACCAAGTAATGAAGGTTAACATCATTGGTGATGTCCTGTTGATATCATGCTCCCCTTGCCATGATCTATTGAGAATGGCAGTTGATCTCAGTGATATTCTTTCCAGAAATCATAACCCTGGTCTAATCATAAGCAGAGACATTAGACAAACCCAAATTCAGGGTCATTCTGTAAAATACCTGACACATAGTCCTCAAAACTGTCAAGATCATGGAAAAGAAGGGAAGATTGAGAATTGTCACAGACCACAGAGACTGGGGAGAGATAATAATTGTATGTAATGTGGTGTCGTGAATGGAATCCTGGAAAAGAAAATGAACATTAATGGAACAACTTGTGAAATGTGAATAATGCCTGGGCTTTAGTTTGTAGCAATGTACCAATATTGGTTTCTTCATTTTGACAAATGTGCCATGATGTTATAAAGTGTTACCAATAGTGGAAAGTGTGTAAAGGGTATAATACACTCTTCGTACTGTCTTTTAACTTTCCCATCAATCTAAAATTACTCTAAAACGGCCATGCATGGTGGCTAAGCCTGGAATCTCAGCACTTTGGGAGGCTGAGGTGGGCAGATCACTTGAGTCCGGGAGTTTGAGACCAGCCTGGGCAACATGGTGAAACCCCATCTCGGTGAAAAATACGAAGTATAACCCGGCATGGGGGCACCCGCCTGTAGTCCCAGCTACTCGGAAGGCTGAGGTGGGAGGATCACTTGAGCCTGGAAGGCAGAGGTTGCAGAGTGAGCCAAGATTGTGCCACTGCACTCCAGCCTAGGTGACAGAGTGAGACCTCATCTCAAAAAGAAAAAAGAAAAAAGGAAAAGAAAAACTCCTTGACAGAGTTTTCTTGGTTGCATGGAATCAAATGATGTGAAGGACAGAAACTATGTGAAATAATTTTTGCTAGATAGCATGTTTTATTTTAACAGTTTTCCGCCTAAAATTGGAATAATATGCTATATTAATACTACTTACATTCGTGTTTCTTCGTAAATGTTTCCGTTATATATAAGATTTGATGACTTTTTAAAAGTCACGTTAATGTCTGAAACTTTTAAATGAGGTGAATAAGGTACAAATTAATAGCTGTCTATTTTGAAGGGAAGAAGTTAAAGTTTGATATAATGGTGTATAGAATCTGAGTGATACTTGTTTTGAGAATTATGATTTTGAAAGTGCTTATGTTAATACTGTGCTTGATTATAATATAGTATTTTGGGAATTCAATTTAGTAACATTATCAGTTAAAGCAACACATAAAAATTAATAGAACAAAGAACACTTTAAATTAAATTAAAATATCTTTGTTACAAACTATGAAAATAAATATAAGTAAATTTCATATCATTTCTCTTCTAGATTTATTATCTAGGATAGATTTGGATGAACTAATGAAAAAAGATGAACCTCCTCTTGATTTTCCTGATACCCTGGAAGGATTTGAATATGCTTTTAATGAAAGTAAGTGGTGTGTGTATAAGTATATATATAGTATATGCAAAATTTATTTAGCAATGCTCATTGAATAAGAAGACAGATATTATTTGCTACTTTTAAAGGCCAAGTAGAATGTTTTCTGTGTTCTTTTGAGAAATAATGACATCCTTGCATGGTGAAATTCTTCATTCAAGTGAAAGAACCAAGTAACAATTTTCTGTAGTTGTCAAGTTACGTAAACTAATGGTCATGAATTTGATTCAGCTTATGCATTTCAACCTTGAGCTTTTAACTCCCTGGTATCCAATTTGAACTCCTAATTAAATTATAGAGAAAGATGCTACTGTCTCACATTTTATTTAGAACAAAGTGTCTGGCAGTAATTATCTGTGACAATGTTTTAAAGTAGTTTTCCATGATTTTTCAGGCAACATTCTTGTTTTAAAATTTATTAATTCAGTTCTGAATAAAATAACCTTTACACTTGGGATGTGGAGGAACATAGTATAGATTGCAAAGATGTTTCTGGAACAGAGAATCATGATTCATTGGATTAATAGTACACCCTTACACTTGAAGGGTAGTGTTATTACAGGGTGGGTGCATTTGAGTTGTAGTTTTTTATTGGTTGTTCTGCATTAACTGAATTGGTGCTTTGTCATCACTGTATTAGTGGATATTCCTTTCTAATATCAGTTATAGATATTAAGAGTTATGGTGACAGTCATTGTGTACTAAGATGTTGAGTTTAAAATAAGAGACTAGAAACTTTGATCTTTTCTCTGATATTAATTTTTATGCTTTTTAATAAAAGTTACTTTATGCCAGTAGAAGTAGTAATATTTGTTGTGTGGAGGGGAAGAGGAGTTTAAGCAATTGGCCTGTAGTGTATTTCTCTCCTGATAACCCCGGGAATACCCCTGGGGAAAAAATCCTGTTCAGGAGACAAGTGGCTTCATGTTTTCTCCTTATAAACGTGCTGATAATTAACTCATTTAATAAATTAGACTGGCCGGGTACGGTGGCTTATGTCTGCAATCCCATCACTTTGGGAGGCAGAGGCAGGTGGATCACTTGCGGTCAGGAGTTCAAGACCAGCCTGGACAACATAGTGAAACCCCATCTCTACTAAAACATACAAAAATTAGCCAGGTGTGGTGGCATGTGCCTGTGGTCCCAGCTACTGCTGGCTGAGGCATGAGAATGACTTGAACCTGGGAGGCGGAGGCTGCAGTGAGCTGAGATCGGGCCACTGCACTCCAGCCTGGGTGACAGAGCGAGACTCCATTTAAAAATAAATAAATAAATAAATAAAATAAGCGTAGACTAATATTTGCTCTGAAGAGAGTCCTTTTCTATAGAATACTTTGAGCAAGATGACTGGTTTAGATATGGGGGATGTTTCTCTGAAGAACATCACTGAAGCAGGACAACTCTTTGGCACAGAAAATGGAAATATTTTATAACCCAAATGCTCACCAGTGGGTGAGATGACCTGTGTATGCACACGTAGAGTCCTCATCTACTTTGGGCCAGAGAGTGCTCTCCAATGAGAGGAAAGGACCTGGGGGAAATGACCAGATGCTGCAGACCTCTCCCTGCCTTGCCTGTGCTTCTTGATTCCTTGTACCCTTGAAATTATTAGTAAAGCTTAGTCATTATCGGTAAAGATCTTTGCTTTGTGGAGTGTGATTTGATAGCCTGAGCCTGTGTTAGCTCACTGCTTCTCTCCAGTTTTCATTTGACATCCTACCCATATTTGAAGACCTAGTTGAGAAATCTCACTGAAACCTTCTGAACCTCTTCTAGCCCACAGATAGTTTTCATTTTTCCAAAATCATTCTAGACTTTATTGTCTATATGAATCCCCAGTGGCAGATTTTTAGACTGTTGACGTATTCCAATCTACTTTGTTTAGCTTCCTGAAAAGTTGCTTAACTTCTTAGTATTTATGATTTGACTTCTCAGGTAACCTCTAAGCTTCTTGAGGACTGGGCCTATGTTCATGGCAATAGCTAGAGAGGTCTTTATACATATTAGGCTTTAAAATATTGTTAGTTTGCTTTAGATTAGAGAGATGAAGGTCAAGAAGAATAACTTTTGAGTACTTGGGGACCATTCTTAGTTATATAATCTATATGTTTGTGTCATATTGACTTCTGAAGAAAAAAAATCTAATGAAAAAGATAAACTGTTCTGAGAAAGTTATTTTAAATTTTTATCAGACATTCTTTGTTGTACTGCTTGTATTATTGTAAATATACTTTGAAGTATAGCAATATTGTTTGTTTATCTTCTTAGAGGGACAGTTAAGACACATAAAAACTGGGGAACCATTTGTTTTTAACTACCGGGAAGATTTGCACAGATGGAACCAGAAAAGATACGAGGCTCTAGGAGAGGTATGTCACATATACTACTTTAACTTTGTTTTTCCCAATTTTAAATATTCAGAATAAAAGTTTTAAAGATGCAGCAGTTTATGTACTCTTTTTACAAAATGTGATTCAAAAAAGGTTTTTGGTTTTTTTTGGTTTATTTTTAGTGGTTATGTTAGAAGCATATTCTCAGTTTAAAAGTTTCTGTTCGGTGGCTCATGCCTGTAATGACAGCACTTTGGGAGGCAACAATGGGTGAAAATATCCTTAAGTATAGTTGTAGTCTTTCAATATTTTAAGAAATTAAAGTCTTTTGATGAAAGCAACTTGTTATTACCCTATTTGTCATCTGCTGCATTTTTATTGAAATAACCTGTGGCTAAAGATGCACTGTCAGTAGCATCTGAACTAGAAATGTGAAGAGTTTCAGAAATTTTAAAATAACTTTTTGTTTTGTTATATTTTCACACTTATATATATGGTTCCTTGTAATTATGTAACATTCCTGTATTATATATTACTTAATCTTCTTCTGAAACATTTGCATATTTTTAAAACTTTATCCCCCTTTACTACTAATATATTTGTGTATATTTCTTATGAACAAGAATATTCTCTTTATAATATAATTATCAGAATCAAGAAATTTTCCATTAATAACATATTGTTCTATAGATTATGTTTAAATTTTGCTAATGTTGCATAATATACTTAATAAATTGCTACTTTTCTTGAAGTACAGGATCAAATCCAGGTTCACACATTGCATTTAGTTGTCATGTCTCTTTATTCTGTAACAATTCCTTATCTTGTCTTTATCTTTCTTGACCTTGACATTTTTTGAGGAGTACTGGATATTTGTAGAATGGCTCTCATTTGGAAAGTTATATGTGTTTTCTCATTATTCGATTCAGGTTTTGCATTTTTGGCAGAAGTACTTTCGAAGTGATCTTTTATCCTCTAAGCATGATATCAAGAGCGTGTGATTTTGATCTGTTCCAATATTGGTGATGTCTTTCAGATCTCACCACAAAAGTACTATTATTTTTATCTTTGTAATTAATAAGTAATTGGGGGAAGATACTTGAAACTATGAATCTTTTGCCTACTAATTTTAGCATCCATTGATTTTCTAACTATGTCATTTCCTCTGTATGTATTAATTGGGATTCTACTGTTAGGAAGAGCATTCTTCCTCCTTCCCTTTTACTTTATTTATATCATTACGGACTCATAGATTCTTGTTTTATTTAATAGGTGATATGATCCATTGCTGCCATTCTTTTGATGCCTAAATTATCCCAGATTTAGCCAGGAGGATCCTCATCAGGCAGATTTTTATGTTCTTTTAACATGTATAAGCCACTCTTTCAGTATTTTCTTAATTTTTGGTACAAAAAATACTTTTTAGGTTTATCTTGTACTTTCTGTGCTCCAGGTCTTGAATCGGTGTTTTCTCCAGTGAGTTCTGACTCTTCTTACTGGAGAATTGGACACGGACAGACACAGACACACACACACACACACACACACACACACACACACACACACCCCTACACCTCCACAGCCATGAACAGCATAATGATGTTTAGGTCAACAATGGACCACATATGTAAGGTGGCTCCATAAGATTAAAATATTGTCTTTTTACTCTACCTTTTCTATGTTTAGGGGTGTGTGTGTGTGTGTGTGTGTGTGTGTGTGTGTATTTGTTTTGTTTTGTTTTGTTTTGAGATGGAGTGTCACTCTGTTGCCCAGTCTGGAGTACAGTGGTGCAATCTCGGCTCACTGCAACCTTTGCCTCCTGAGTTCAAGCGATTCTCCTGCCTCAGCCTCCCAGGTAGCTTGGGGCTACAGGCTTATGCCACCATGTAGAGGTGGGGTTTCGCCATGTTGGCCAGGCTGGTCTTGAACTCCTGAACTCAGGTGATCCGCCCACCTCAGCCTCCCAAAGTGCTGGGATTACCTGCATGAGCCACTGTGCCCTTCCCTGTTTAGGTATATTTACATACAGAAATACACCGTTATGTCACAGTTGCCCACAGTATTTAGTATGGTATCATGCTGTACAAGTTTGTAGCCTAGGAGCAGTAGGCTATACCATGTAGCCTAGATGTGTAGTAGATTGTGCTATCTGGGTTTCATAAGTGCAGTCTATGATATTCACACAGTGACAAAGTCACCTAATGATGCATTTCTCAGAATATATCCCCTTCACTAAGTATTGCATGACTGTTTAGACACATGCACATGCAAGCACCTGCCCCACCCCAAGATTTCTGCATTGCTAGTGATGCCAGTGCTTTTAGGCCCTCAGCACATATATTTGTGTGTCTGTGCATGTACATATATGTATATTCACAGTTTTTGCTTTCTGAAGATAGGTAAATTTAGAAGTAAATAAGATGCAGATAGATATATATATACACACATAGCCATTTTATCTGTATATGTGTGTATGTGTAATAGAAAATAGGAGTACATACTGACATCAGCCCAAGGAATTTTTAATTTAATTTAATTTTAAAACTCAGATGAAGCCCTGGAACAGAAAAAGGAGACCTGACAAAGGAGGAAGAAATATAGGTGATTTTTTTTTCTGCCTTCCTCTCATTGCATTCCCAATATCACAGCCCGAAAATATTGATGGGAAGATTACTTTTTTTTTGTCATTTTTGAGATGGCCAGGACTCTTCTATTCCTCTTCTTGGCCAGTAACATGAAATGGATGCTGAATTACCACTCCTAGCAATGCGAAGTGACTAGGTAATGTTTTCTATTTGTATCTGGAGAGGTAAAGTTGGCTGTTAGGAAGGAGTAGAGACTAGAGGGACCGTGGAAGTGGTGTACTCTGCAGACTTCAGTATTTTATTCAGTGCTTCTTTCAGTGGAAGTACTACAGATATTCAGATTATCTAGTAATGAACTTCATTACTTATTGTGAGATGAGTTAACTTTGGATTTAATCATGCTGGATTTTAGCTGCAGTATTTTTACATATAAACACTGAAGAAAATATCATAAAATACCCAAAATTAAGCTCGGGCCTGTTCATATTAGCTACCCTTTCACCCTAAAATCTAAGAATACCATGTATATTAAATATTTTATTGTTTATTAAATATTATATTAAATATTTTAGTCTCAAACTTATGGGACTGAGAAATATCCAGAAAGAATTGGGAGAGTAAATGGAAAATCATCTGTGTTTCAGGCATCTCTTTTAGAGTCTGTTTCTGTTAATGTATTAAAAAATGATTAAAAATAGTTAAAAACCAACAGAAATTTGTTGAGTACATTGTTCCACTTGGTTTTGTTTGAGTTAGGATTAAGTAAAACTACAGTCTTTCTTCTCAAGGAACTTACATCAAGCAGAGGAAATAAGACTTAAATATAATAATCAGGACTGGGCATGGTCGCTCACGCCTATAATCCTAGCACTTTGGGAGGCTAAGATGGGTGAATTGCTTGAGCTCAGGAGTTTGAGACTAGCCTGGGCAACATGGTGAAACTCCATCTCTACAAAAAGTACAAAAAATTAGTCAGGCATGGTGGTGCAGGCCTGTAGTCCCAGCTACTTGGGGAGCTGAGGTGGGAGGATCATTAGAGCCCAGAGGTCAAGGCTACAGTGAGCCAAGATAACGCCACTGCACACTCTAGCCTGGATGACAAAGTAGAGACCCTGTCTAAAAAAAAAGAAAAAGAAAGAAAGAAAGAAATATAACAATCAGAAAAGTAAAAGCTAGTGAATAATTATTTGCTGAGTAGACTTTGGTTGATAAAGGAAATCAGAGAAAGGCAAATGTTTTAGGGGAAAAGCTATATGAAGGTGGTATGCCTTAAGCTTATTTTTTAAAACATGACTATATTGGAGAGCTAGAGGCATATTATCTTTTGATAATAGAACTGTTATTCAAATACCTTAAAATAAATATTTAAAATGCTTGAAAACATTAAAAAGGTTAACAAAATATTTTTTTAAAATAGATTTTAAATAATACCAAATGAAATGTATATAAATCAAAATTATAGTCAATAAAGTTAAAATTAAACAGCCTACTTAAATAGAAGATTAGACATAGCTGAAGGGAGAATTGGACTACTAGAAGATAACTTATCTCAATAAAATTACTTAGTATATAGCTCAGAAAAATTTTAAAAAGAGATGGAAAATATGAAAGAGAGCTTGTAACAGGGATAGTAGAATGAAGATGTTTAGCATGTATTTAATAGTTCTAGAAAAAGAAAGAGTAAGGAAATATTTGAAGAAATATTATCTGTGTATTGTCTTGAATTGGTAAAAGATTCAGGAACTACATTGAGTCCTCAGGATGATTAATAAAACTGAACATACACCTAGGTATTATAGTGGATCTTTGGCACATCAAAGGCATAGGGAAGATTATAAAAGCAAGCAGATAATGAAGCCTGATTATCTACAACCTCAGCTAGACTGACAGCTGAAACATTAACAACTGTGGATACCAGAAGACACCAGAGGAAATAACTATTGATCCAGAATTATATGCTCAAATAAAACCATAATTCAAAATTAGGTTCAGATGCATATATTTTCAGACAAAGGCTGACAGTTTACCTTTTGCTAAAGAGCTACCAAAGAAGCAAACTGAATTAATAAGAAGAAAGAAAGTGAGATGCAACTAAGAAGGCATGCTGAGCAATGGAATTGGTAAGCCTGTGAGCAGTGTAAAGGAACTTTAGCTATATTAAGCAACAACAATAATAAACAGCAAATACAAAACCAAGGTAGAAAAATACGCTATTTAAAAATAACATGAAGGAGGTAAGATGCATTAAAAAGATGGGGTAGATCTCTCTAAAGTCTTTGAGCTATTCAAGAAAAGAAGACAGGGATTAATTTTAGATGTAAGTATGCTAAATATTCATGTTAAAACTATAAGGATGTCACTAGAGGAACAGAACCAGAATATATCACTTTTATACCAAAGAGTGAGAAATAAAGAAAACTTAACCTATTAAAAAATAGGAAGAGAAAGAAAGAA